CTCCCTTTACCCCGTGCCCTTGGTCCACTTCCACTTCCTGTCTGGCTTCGTGTTTTGCACCTGGAAAATTGCGGTCTTAATCACTGTAAATTCTTACCTAGCCCTAGTGAGCAAATAAAAGTCTTGGTTCGGTAGATGTAGGTACTTTGCAAACCGCGCCGAGATTCAGAGAACAGGAGGTAGGCTTATGTGCAGATAGACTCCCCTTCTTCCTCTCTGGAGCGAGTACCTACATATGGTGGGAGTTGTAAACAAATACGAAGTGAAAACGAAACAAAAAAGCAGACCCAACAGGATTCTAATCAAAAAGCATTTTAATCATCCTGGTCCTTTTGAGCCCCAAAAGGCGAATGCACTCCGCTTTGTGAAGGTAGGACATTCGTCGTCGTCGTCGTTATCGTGGGGGTTTTTGCCAAGTAGCAGCAAACATTTGCCTCTTGGCTTCTGTGCATGCATCGGATTGCACTCTCTGTCTCACCGAGACCAGGGCCTGGAAGATTCCGTTTAACTAGAGAAGCCAAATGGAATGGAACTCACATCAGATTGGCCTACGCTGCCGTGAGTGAGAAGTTTGTTTGCAAAGATTTTATCAGGTGATGTAATGGTCTCCTAGTTATGCTATTTTGGGAACTGTACGAGTTTTACGTTTACTGACTTTGGTCGTCCGAAAAGAGGATTCATGTTTCGTAACAAGAGTACGTTTTTGACGAAATAATTAGGGTAAAAGTATTCTTCATCTCATCTATCCTGTGATGTAATGGGATGAGCCCGTGAACAGTTCAATGGAAAATTATAATGGGTTTTGAAAAACGACTTTTGAAACGGCCAAACTTCTGCTTGGGGCTTTGGATAAGACGTTGCATGGTGAATTAAGATGAAAATTTGAATCATGTTGATTATGCTAGGATCTGTTTGGGGGTTGCCAATAAGCTACGCAGACATTTGCAAAAGGAGTGTGGGTTATGAAATATTCCTGGTTTGTGTTCGTAGCTTAGTTCAAAGTTAATGTTTCTGTTGTTTAACTCTTACAACTAAATTCAAATTTCTCGCGTAACATTTTAAAACGACCTATCATCTTGTAAACAATACTTGTAACACCCTTTTCGCGCGAACCGAAGTGCACCCACGCCAACCACGCCATTGGTTACGGGAAATCCAAAAATAAGGCATAATAATTGATTATTAATAAGTGAGTTTCAAAATGATTATTGGGGATGAAAATGATCTTCGCGCAGGGTTGTTTCCACTTAATTCACTATAAAAAATGTTTTTAGAGATTATGGAATCATTGAATGCTAAAACGATATTTGTACTTTTACATTAAAAGAAGAGAGTATAAGTTTAACACATAAAACCTGTCATTTTCGCTTTTAAGGTGTCACATTAGACTGGCCCACATTTATGTGCGAGATTTTTTCTCATTTTTTTCAACGGGCCAACCCCCAGATTTGTGCCATTAGGTGCGAAAATCACTCTCTGTAAATTTCAGCTCATTCGGATATAACACGAGCTGGTCCTTTGGGCTTAAAGTTTATTTGGGGATTTTTTTCGAAATTTATGAAGAAATAACATCCCTTCAGTCTTGCGTGCATAAAACTAGCTCAGCAAACTATTTTAAGCTCAGAATTTCAACACATGTAGCTTAATCTATAAGAAACAACTTTACTCAAGACAGCATCATGATTCAACCTAGTATTATGCAGATATTCATTCTTTATAAATGTATTTTGTTCGTATATTGCAATAAAATACAGGTAGCTTATGCAACCATATCAACTAGATTATCACTAAAAAATAAAGTTAATATTTCTACAGGCCAAGATCCAGACTCGTGTCAGTAGGTGAGATAACCACTCTCTGAATGTTTCAGCTGTTTTTGACGTAACACAGACTGGCGCTTTTGGTTTAATGTTTATCCCCTATTTTGGTTGAAATTTTCATATACAAAATGCTCATATACACACACTTAGAAATTTTTACAGAAATCTGTAAAATTTTACCGAATTCTCAATAGCTGAACGTCCGGTAAATAGTTTCGCATATTTCCTGTAATTTTTCACATATATCTGTGAATTTTTCACAGATATCTGTAAATAATTACAGGAAAACTGTAAAATTGTTTATCGAACGTTCAGCTGTTGAGATTTCGGTAAAATTTTACAGAAATCTGTAAAATAATCTTAGTGTGCATTCAAAAGCGAATATCTCAATTAAACTAACTGGATTCATGATCCAATGTTCAGCAAAGTTGTTATTCAAGTTGAACTACAAGTTTTGAAAATCTGAATCAAATCGAGAATAAGGAAACTTTTTTATGATCGATAGAGCGTAGGAGTGTCATTTTTTCATGTTTTTTATCCAAATTCCTCATACAAAATTCAAACTAAAAGCGCCAGTTCATCCTACAACAAAATGAGCTAAAACTTTCATAGAATGGTTTTCTCACCTAAAGCCACAAATCAGAGGTTGGCCCGTGGAAAATTAGAACTTTTATATTTGTGGGCCAGTCTAGTGTCACATTTAATGATTCGTGAGCGCTCACTCTGAGTGGTGATTCCTCTCACGCAAAGGACGACTGTCCTGTGAAGGAAGATCCTAAGAAATTTAAATGTTCAAATTATGGGGAACATCACAAATCCAATTTTTGGGAATGCATAATTCATAAAAGGATCTTACAATCCCGTAGTTACCATCAGGTAGGAAACGCTACACTTTACTGACTTTACTTTACATTCGTACCTGTAGGTACAAACAGATCACAAGCTTCAAATTCTTCATCCATACCCGCTGTTAACAATGTTTAGCAACTTAATGGAGCTACTTAAGCTACTATTACAGCAGGTAGAAATCAAAAACAACATTCTAACCATCATAATTCTAATGGTTGCCGGCGCTGGTGGTGTAGTGGTAAGCGTGACTGCTTTCTCATCCCAATGGGTCTGGGTTCAATCACAGCCGAGGTCGGTGTGATTTTTCTGAGGCATAAAAATCTTTGGTCACGTCTTCCTTCGGAAGGGAAGTAAAGCCGTTGGTCCCGGCCCAAGTGTGTTTGAATAGGTGCGATATCCAACGCAGGTGGGGCAGCTGCCTTCCTTGCACATTCGACTGCCGTCAATGAATGGCAATCGATGTCCGTCGGTGATTGGCAGGCACTAGATTGCGGAACAGAGACCGACGTTAAGTGAAGGAATGAAGAATAATTCTAATAGAAATTTTGATGATTTTGCCTAAGCTACACACAAACCAAACATTTATTACATTCAATGTTAGTTGCATTTCCTATCATTCTCCGCAGCAAATACCGCAGAGAATGATATGAGTTGGCCATGCAGACGATGCAATGATTTTTATCCTTTTTATTTCGTGTTTTGCCTACGCTTTCAACTATACCACCAAGCTTTTTATGCATAACGTTGTAGCACGACGCACACACTAGCTTCGATTCTCTCCAAGTCCGTTTAGCAGATAAAACATACGAAATCAAATTATCGTACTATGAGCGCTTCTTATTCGCTTTTAGCCTATTCATGTTCCGAAGCATGGAGAGAGCAGTGAAGAAAGCACAGGTCAGTTAATCGCAACGTTCGTGGTTCGAGTCCAGGCCGGCATCCTTTTTTTTTGGTCATAATTTATTTCTCTCACACTCTACATTTTTTGGTCTCCCGTTTTCTTGCATTGGACCGCGCCTCAGTATATCTCCGCTCATGTAGTCTCCACTAATGCTGCATGCACTGCTTATGCACCCCAGGCCACTTTGAAGCAATGTCATACGCATTTCAAGAAACATATCAGTTACACTGTCACACTACCTTCAAATTGGATACAGATAAGTTGTTTATGCAGAATTGCAATCCAGTTCATGGCATAATTTGAGTTATCTTGGGTCTTAAAGTCGGACTTTACGTAGTCAGCCATTCCATAGCAAAACGATTTAGTGGTTCAAAGAATTTCATAAAAATTGCTAGTTCTGTTCCTTATTGCAAAATATTAGACCCGTATTTTTTGTCATTAAGGTTACCATTATGTAAAGGTAGTCCAAAATATTTTATTTTTTCAAAAAATCAAATGAAAGTTAATTAAAAACACTTTTTAGGAAAAATACATTGATATTACCAAATCGGGATTTTGTATTGAAATACATTGATTCTATTTGCTTTTTATGGTTTTCATGAATTGTAGACAAAGGGCGCAAATGTTTTTATATTTTTTACGAAATTCTGACACCACTATATCGTTTCGCTATGGAATGGCTGTAGTTGGAAACCGAAGAAATCACCCTTCTATATAATCTGTATCTGGAGATACAGGTGTATACAATATTTGCATGCTCAGTAGCACCGCCTATCTGCAGAATTCAGAGTTGATCTGTCCACCTCTCAGCATTCTTTGGCCACCTGGACAACTTTGCCGAAGACATCACACGTCTATATATTGTTACCATCCTAAATGGTAACACTTTGTATTTTTATTTTGTGTGGGAACGTAGGGCACCATTTGTTCAGCAAACTTCCAATTTGAATTGCGAGCGGTAGCACCGATAACGATTGTGGGTGACGAGTGAAGTCGGCTGCAGTAATTGGAACGGAAATGTGGTAGCAAACGAGAGAGCTGAGTGGTGTGAGTGTGACTATGGGTGCATGGTGAGGAGCATAGAGAGTTCGAGGGAGTCTGGACAGACGTTCGGTGAAAAAATGGTAGAGACGGTAGTGGAAGTGATATGGGAAGCACGAGGTTCGCGTCACTGCAGGAAGATGATCCTCGTTGGTCTCATGACGGAACGACGCCATCAGACAGCAAGCATCTTAGTCATCTGATCATATCATTCTCTGCTTGAACGGCAAGCAGTTTAGTTCGCTCTCGTGAAAGTTAATTTTTGAGTTAGTGTTTGCGCTCTTTCGTACGTGATTTGTCGTGCGTGTGTGTGTGCCCCGAAATGGGGAAGCATCGCTCGTGAAGCCCGGTGAAGGTTTGCTGTTCTTCCCATCGATGGACATACCCAGCCAGCTGCAAAAGGAAAGCGCAGCAAGAAGAGGAAGAAGAATCGGAGCCAGTACGGTTGCACGGTTTCTCGCGACGATGCCACTGCGACAAACGGCAGTGATGTTGCCGACACAAGCACGGCAAAAGTAAAACTACCTCCGTTGGTAGTGAAAAATGCCCATCTTAACGATCTCATCGCAGATCTGGCGTCGCTGGGCGTTAAAGCCGAATTCAAGTTGGGCAGAGTCGGCACCAAGGTTTTGCTCCGTACGAAAGCGGAGTGTGACTTGGTCGTTGCCCACCTGAGGACTACCAAGGTGGAGTTTTTCACCCACGACATTCCCGGCGAGAAACCATTCAAGGTCGTCATCAGGGGTCTACCGAATTTTGACCCGAAGTTGATTGAAGCGGAAATCAAGAACCGCTACAAGCTGGCCCCAACTACCGTCTTCCGAATGACAAGGAGGGACGAGAACGTCAAGAGGTATCTGGATTGTCTTTTCCTGGTGCATTTCCAGAAGGGAACGGTGACGCTCAATGCGTTGAAGGCTATCCGCTCCATCAATTCCATCATTGTCCGATGGGAGCCATACCGTGGCGGCCGTCACGACGTCACCTAGTGTCAACGTTGCCTGAATTTCGGGCACGGCACCCACAACTGCTTCGTCAAGCCGCGCTGTGGCAAATGCACCCAAAACCATATCTCCTCCGAGTGTGTTGTCGACGAGTCGGAAACGGCCAAATGTTCCAACTGTAATGGCGCTCATCAAGGGTCCGACAAACAGTGCCCCAAACGCGAAGATTTCAAACGGATCCGAAAGCAGGCGTCCACAAGAAATCAACCAGGACGAAAGAAGGACAATACGCCGGCATTCAGACTGGAGGATTTCCCGCCGCTTCCTGCTACGCAACACGGTCAAGCAAATCCACGGGTGCAATCCGGCCCCCGCCAAGAAGCATCTGGTGCCTCAGCTGGACAAAGCTCTCCATCCCCCCCTGAATTCTGGAGTCAACCACCAGCACAAAACGCCAATCCCGATCTCTTCTCTGCGGATGAGCTGATGAAGATTTTCGTCGACATGACCAGCGCTCTTCGTCAGTGCGGCAGCAAGCCCGAACAGATCCAAGTGCTCGATAAGTTTATTATTCAGTATGGTGTCTAAACCGATAACTGTCGTCACATGGAACGCATGCTCTGTAAGAGCAAAAAGACTCGAGCTTGCTGACTTCCTCCGCAAGCATAGTATCGACGTGGGCCTCCTAACAGAGACCCATCTTAAATCCGGTGACAGCTTTTGGTTGCCTGATCACCACATTATCTTGATCATCATCAAGAAAGGAATCAAGTTCTGCACGCTGCCGCTTATTCGCACTTCTATCATCGAGGCCCTTAGTGTGGAGGTGGAATCACCAACCGGAAACGTCCGGTTCGTCGCCGTATACTGCCCTCGTCAGTGTGCTGCCAGTAATGGATTAGGTATCCAATTCAAGCATGATCACTCGCACGAGCTCACGATTCGTCATTGGGGGCGATTTAAATGCCCGCCACAAAGCATGGCGGAACTATCAACGGAATCAGAACGGACGTCTGCTCTTCTACCACTCGCAGCATGGGCTGTATACAGTGAAATTCCATGATGAACTGACATTCATCTCTCCGGCGGGAAACCCTTCCACGTTGGACTTTTTTCTATCGAACATTGGACTATCCAAACCGATGACGATCAACGATCTCAGTTCCGACCATCAACCGGTGGTGGCTGAAGTCGGCACCCACGTGGCACCTGCTCAAAGCCTGCGCAAAGACTACCATCATGTCAACTGGGTGCAGTTTGGGCATGTGGTCGAAAGAAACATCGATGAAAATCCGCCGCTTGACACCGTAGAGGACATCGACCGGGCACTGGAAGGACTCCACCAGGGCATATCCGTGGCTGACGAGACGTGTGTTCGACAAGTTCCTGTGAGGGGTAAGTGTGTTGCCATTGATTCCCACAATCAATTACTGATTCGCTTGAGAAATGTGCGTAGACGCCAGTTTCAGAGGACTGGAGATCTAGCGAGGAAACGTGAAATGGCCGATCTGAACAGGCAGATTGCTTCCAGAATGGACTCACTCCGAAATGAAAGCCAACCCCAAGTCGATCGAAGAAGAACTTAAGGACCGTTACAAGCTAGCCCCAATCGCAGTATTCCGGATAACGAGGAGAAACGAAAACGTGAAAACGTACCCGGAATGCCTTTTCCTGGTACATTTCCAGAAGGGAACGGTGACGATCAATGCGTTGAAGGACATCCGCTCCATAAACTTCATCATTGTTCAATGGGAGCCATACCATGGCAACCGTCACGACGTCACCCAGTGTCAGCTACATCTGCTACAACTACTACATCAATACGCGCTGTGGCAAATGCGCCCAAAATCATGTCTCCTCCGAGGGCGTTGTCGACGAGTCGGAAACGTGCAAATACGCCAACTGTGGTGGAGCTCATCAAGGATCCGACAAACAGTGTCCCAAACGCGAGGATTTCAATCGGATCCGAAAGCAAGCGCCCACAAGAATCCAACCAGGACGGAAGAAGGACAATACGCCGGCATTCAGACTGGAGGATTTCCCGCCGCTTCCTGCTACGCAACACGGTCAAGCAAATCCACGGGTGCAATCCGGCCCCCGCCAAGAAGCATCTGGTGCCTCAGCTGGACAAAGCTCTCCATCCCCCCCTGAATTCTGGAGTCAACCACCAGCACAAAACGCCAATCCCGATCGCTTCTCTGCGGATGAGCTGATGAAGATTTTCGTCGACATGACCTGCGCTCTTCGTCAGTGCCGCAACAAGCCCGAACAGATCTAAGCGCTCGATAAGTTTATCATTCAGTATGGCATCTAAACCGGTAATACTAAACGATCATTTAAAGTCAATCAGACAGCCACTATCAAATCATCGTCTGCAGGCCACCGCGATCAGGCCACCGCTATCAGACAGCCACTATCTGGCCATCGCCATCAGGCTAACTTTATCCGACTGGCTGTTGCAATCAGACCACCGCCTTCGGACTGCTTCTATTCTGCTGCCGCCGCCATCGAGCCGTTGCCATCGGGCTACCACCATAGGGGTGCTTCCCTTCGACAACGACCATACGGTATTGGGCTGCCGCCATCTGGCCGCCAACATCCTGCTGTCACTGACTGGCCGCCACCATCTAGAAAATGCCAAGCTCATCATATTGGTTCGCATAACGAATAAATGTAAGTTAAATTCTACTTTTATAGTTGGTTAGGACTTCCCCACAATCCGAAAGCTTCCCCACGCAAAAATGCCCTGGGACCAAAAGAGGCATTGAGTGCCCACCCCAGGAGCTGCCGTTGGCTTAAGACCATCAACTCGGGGCGTGGAGGCGAACAAGCCCCAGGCGGAAAGCCTCCCTAATAAAGATAAATCAATCAATCAACTCGGGGCTTAGGATGGTTCCCTTCTGGGACTAAGCGATTCCGGGACCATAAGTTGTTTCAATATACAGGATCTGACGATACAGCAGTACACACCAAATTTTAGTTTTCATTATCAGTAAAACGGTTTGCTGGATCATGATCAGCATCAAAAAAGCTTTACCGAAAATCAGCAAACGATATATTTTCCCGAAAAATTCAGCGAACATAAACGGTTTGCTGGACATCCAGTAAAGAGTTGTCACAGTCGCAAGTATTTGCATTTGTACGATTCGTATAGAGTTTTTTGACGTTTAATCGACGCACACTGCTGCACCATTTAAATCGAACGAGTGCGAGCAAGAGGGAAACAGATTAGTGGGAAAACAAACCGTTCATTCATCCATGTGCTAGATAGAGAAAAACGAATAAATGTCAAAAACGTCTATAAACCACCGAGGAGGAGGAGATAAACAAAACTTCAAATATATAAAATTATGTTGGCAAGAGCACTGGTTATATTAAATTTTAATAAAGTATGCATGGAAAAGACTCTAGGATAATAAATAAAGACAACATTTGTGTATTTGCATCAAAAATCTTTAACAGAAGCTGCCAGCCCCAAGTGAAAATAAATTCGATTTACTGAGTTTATTCAGCAAAATGCTGTGAGCTGTCAAAATTTTTTATTGCAGAAAAATCAGAGAAAATTTTGCTGAAATTTTTGCTGATTTTCAGTAAAATGTTGTCATTTTGACAGAAGTTGGAATTGCTGGAAAATTCAGCAGCATTATTTTGCTTGAAAGTTTGCTGATCTTTCATCAAGTCTAAAATCAGCAAAATTCTGCTGAGTTCCAGCGATTTAAATTTGGTGTGTACATCATATTTGCATGCTAACTAGCACCGCCTAGTGGCAGAATTTTGTCCAGCAGTTTTTGGTCTCCTGATAATCTTTTTCCGAATACATAGACGGGTGATCAGGGTCCTGAGATACAGTAGCACATAATGTTTGCATGTGAGGTGCTCACTAGCACTGCCTTGTGACAGAATTTTGAATTTATCTGTCCAATGTCAATCTATCCAGCAGACCACTTTTCACAAAAGTTGATAAAATTATGTTTTTCGTAGTGTACCAACTGCGTACCATAGCGTACCTTCAAGGATTTTGAACGTACCTAGCAAACTCCTTGTTTTAGGGTGTCCTGCTGAATAGATGGGTGATTTTTCGAAAATCTTCATTAAACCTTCCAAAACCTTCAGCAATGTAGTGTACCAATAGCGTACCTTCCGAATCTGAGGTTCATTTTTAACGTACCTCAAAATTTACCATACTTACTTATATAAAACTATTTAAAATACATAATATGTAAAATCTGACTTCGGATTTGGATTTCTCGTGAAATTTTAAACCGATTTGACCAAAAAAACATGTTACTTAAGTGTATTCTACGCTCTTTTATGACCAAAAACGTGATTTTATAACAAACATATCCAAATACTCTTGAATACCTACTTCCAACTAAGCATTATGTTTACCCCTGAAAGTAGATATCCACCAAACATGGAAAATGGCATTTTTAGATATCTTTAAGCAAACTTTATCAATCTGTATGGGTACAGGATAAACGTACCTCAAGGCAACTCAAGTTTATATGGATAGAATGGATGATTTTCTAAGGAAAATTGAATTTTTATGATTATTTTAGAAAGTACGTAGTTTTGTGAAAATTTCGTGGACTGCTGGTGATTAAATCATCTCAAAATATTCTCACAGGTTCCAGAAACAATGTGCATGGGAACAGGTTGAACGTACCTCAAGGCAATTCATGTTTATATGGATAGAATGGATGATTTTCTAAGGAAAATTGAATTTTTATGGTTACTTTAGAAAATACGTAGTTTTGTGACAATTTCGTGGACTGCTGGTGATTAAATCATCTCAAAATATTCTCACAAGTTCCAGAAACAATGTGCATGGGTACAGGTTGAACGTACCACAAAGCAACTCAAGTTTATATGGATAGGATGGATGATTTTCTAAGGAAAATTGAATTTTTATGATTATTTTAGAAAGTACGTAGTTTTGTGGCAATTTCGTGGACTGCTGGTGATTAAATCATCTCAAAATATTCTCACAGGTTCCAGAAACAATGTGCATGGGTACAGGTTGAACGTACCTCTAGGCAATTCAT